TTCAGCCAAGGTGTGAGGGTGGGTCACACCTTGGCTGATGTGTTTATGTAGAAGATCATCAGGGGGCCTTTTGTTCCCTCTTCGGGGGGAAACTCCCACTGGGGTTTAAAATCTGGGACTCTCCACCATTTGACCTTAGAACTGAAGAAGCCTCTCGGATGAGAGGTGAAACGTCTTCCAGCAACTCAAAGAAGTCCAGATGCTTTTCTTTCAAAGCTCATTAGACTACATAAATTATTAATCACATTAGAGTCAAAGTAAAAATGGGCCTATTTTGTTTTAATCTGCATATCTAAGTATTCCCCTTGGGGTGGATCCAGGGCCTGGCTAAAGGTGTGTCGAAAGTCCCAACCAGAGCAGCAGCTGCAGGGGGACAGGAACACATGAAAACCCAGGGTTTCCACGGTAACTGTGTTACAAAATGAAACAATCATTCAACAACATGCCATTTGTTCCCGTGTGGTAGAAAATGAGACCCAACCTCAGTCTCCTCAGTACAAAAATACATGGATTCAGGTGAAAAAGGGAATAAATATTTAAGTCAGGGAAGACCACGGGTCCCATTCACTGCTGTGGCACAGTGGATGCGTTTAATGAGTCGGACATACAAAAATAAATCACAACAAAGCAACACAAACTGTACAAATAAAAACCTGAAGCAACAGTTTGATCTGAAACGAAACCTCACCGCTGCCGAGCAGATTGTGTTTAAAACGTCCCGATCCGATAAAAAATCAAATAAGAGTCATGGAGGCAAAAACACAGCTGGAGAGGATAAACGGGTGTGTTTGTGATGCCTCTTAAACACACACACACACACACGCACGCGCGCACACACACACACACACACACGCGCACACACACACATGCACACACACACGCACGCACACACACACACACACACACGCACGCACACGCGCACACACACACATGCACACACACACACACACACGGGGTAAAGTTAAAGGGTCGTCTCACAGATTGACCCTCTACGAGTATAAAAACTACAAACATTAATAAATTACATCACTGACACACAAACACGTCACAAGGTGCTAGTAAAATAATTCCCAAAGCCTTTAGGATACTGAAGGTTGAACAAGTGTCTGGTCATAGAGATGTGTGTGTGTATGTGTGTGTGTTTTCCTTCTCTGGATCAGACTAAATCACAATACTCTGAGTGTGTAAGGCCATATGACGACAACACGAGCTTCCTTCTGTTGTTTTCCAGGCAGCACCTTTCAAACTAACCACAAACAAGAGCTTAGAACTATGACAACTCAAATCACACACACACACACACACACACACACACACACACACACACACACACACACACACACACACACACACACACACACACACACACACATGTATATAGATAGATAAATATTTTTAAAATAAAATTAGTCAGACAGGAAAAGCTGTAAAAATGTAGGGTAAGCCTGACAGAAAAGGGCTAAAAAAGTTTTGTACAAACTACATTCTATACAGATAAGTAGCAAAAGCTGTGTGTGTGTGTGTGTGTGGGTGTGTGTGTGTGTGTGTGGGGGGGGGGGGGGGGGGGGGGGTCTGGGCCGGCGGTGCTGCCTGTGAAAGCAAAAGGAGGTGAGAAAGTATCCCCATGGTGCTGCTGCTCACCTGGCATGAATGAGGCTTATCAGGTCTACGCAGGTGTGTGTTTGCGTGTGTGTGTGTCCTTCTACATACTACATACTGAGGACCATTTGACCATTTTCCCAACAAGAGGACATTTTTTGGTCCTCACTTTTTTTAGAAGTTTACCAGAAGCTTACTACACCAGTTAGAGGAAGTTTCAGTTAAGGTTAGGGTTAGGAATAGGTCAGCACTGGTTATGGTTAGGGTACGGGTTAGGCATAGTGGAGTCACACAAATTAATGGAAATCAATGGAGGGTCCTCACTAAGGTAGAAAGACAGACAGGTGTGTGTGTGTGTGTGTGTCAGGTGAAAGATGGGCTTTGTGCTTTCCACTGCTTCTTGATTTCCTACCTTATAATAAATAAACACCTGCTCCGGTGAAGGCTAAATGCTGGAGTTGATGCCGATTGAAACAATTCTCAGAGAATCCTGAATCAGAAAAGGCCCGTGGAGATTTCCGTCATCTCAGTGTGGCATGATAAGCTGCACTCATAAGTATTAACACCCCCCACCCAAGCACACATGCAACTAAATACATGCAAGGGATACTTTCACAGGTCTTGGAATGACTGCAATGTTACCACCCCCCGTAAAATGGCAGCTGTAGTAAAATGAGGTGTTCTCTTAAAAAATATTTATAATAGCTTCTGTACATTTTAATATCTGAACGTTATAAAGTCTAAGAAGAGGCAAAAAAACCTATTTGACCAATGTTCTTCTTAGAAATTGAAAAATGCATGTTTCTGCTCCTCCCATCAGGAGTTGGCGATGAGACCCAGCTCCTGAATTCCCGGTCCTTGCCCAGTCTCTGTGGCGCTACAGGAGCAGCTTTCCGTTTCGATGGATCTTTAATATCTTGCCGAGTCTCTGTTTGGCCGTTGCCATGCCTTTCTTTAGCCGCTTCGCTGTGGAAAGAGGAGAGAACAGGAGGTGAGCTGCTGGGGGCTTCTCACCATGCTCAGGTATGGCTGAGCGAGCTGCCCACCTTTGGGGTCTGCTGGCGCCGTGCGGTCCCCCTTCACCACACCGCTGCTGTTGGTGCTGGTGCAGTTGGTGCTGTTGTTGGGAGAGGACGCAGAGGGCCGCCGCTGGTTGAGGAAGATCCCAGGGGCCATGGGTTGTGCCCCTCCCACAAACTTGATGGTTCCAGTGCTGAACTCGTGGTCCATCAGGCTGCCGTCCTGGGAGTCCACGTTGTGATCTGGAGAGCTGCTGTCCTGGGAGAGTTTGGACAGCTCCTCTGTAGCTAAAGCCTTCTTTTTGGTGCTTTTCTTTTTCTTCTTGGTTTTCTGCTGCTCCTCCTGCAGACACACACGTGTTTTTACTCAGACACACACCGAGCTACAGGTAATCAGCAAACAGAGCCATACCTGGTGAGAGAGTTTAGCTGCCGCTGCAGCTAAGCCTGTCTCTATGGAGGCCACGCGGGCGCCGTCTCGCGCCGGTCGCTCCTGCCGCGGAACTGAAGGCCCAACACGCGCTGCAATGACATTTGCATCCGGTTTGAAAACAACTTTTTGAAGGAAGCTGAGTTTTTGCTCAGCAGCAGTGTTTACCTGTGGGGCTGTAGGGGGTGTCGTCACTGCTTTTCCGCTTTTTGGATCTGGATTTGAAAACAGGATTATCCTCTTCTGACTCCAGCGAAGGGTAAACTACAACAACAGCATGAGTCAGAGCTTCAGTACGAGGATGGGAGGTCACTTCACATCTTTCAGTTTTCTAAAAACAGACAATATTAGCAGAGACAGGACAGCTGTTCAGCAGCTGCTGGCCGCCACCTCCTCTCTGCTCACAGCCCCAACCCATCAGGAGTTCAAACTACAGCACGCTGCTGCTGTTATTCACAGGTTCAAACCAAGCCCCCACAATGCGTCTCTAAAATTGGGCCCAACCCGGAAGTACCGAAAATTGCAGTTCCACCCTCATCCACTGGGGGCTGGTGTCAGAAGCGAGCAAATCCTCATTGACTCCCATGTTAAAAATACCAATTTCACAGCAGAAATAAACATGTTTACAGCCTGGTTCCAAAACATGTTTTAGGTTTAAATGATCTAGTTTACACTCATGACAACTCTGAGGGGGGTGACTGTTTTTCTCACTCTTCTGTTTAAGTGTATTAAAAGCCTAAAATTCTGTATAATTAATGAGCATCAGACCCACGTGACCACAGAGAGGCCTCAGTAGAGCCTCCTGTTCCGAGATTTTGAGTCTCTGTGTTTGTGTATTCTTGTTTGGATATTTTTTGTGCAATTGTTGGACAAAATGACTTGCTGTGGCATTAATTGCACTAATAGAGCGTCCAAGGAGTCTCCACTTCATTTTTTCGGTAAGTAAAATTATATTTATGTATTTTAGGTCACTGCCGAGCTGAGCTTAGATTTTAACATGTACTGTTTAACCATGAAATTTAAATGTAATAGGGTAAAACCCAGTGCATTTAACATAATGCTACTTTAGAAAATGGGTTGAAATATAACATGTTGGTGGAGCTGGGTTCCCACTATCGGCTTGTGGAGCTCTCGGGAGACCGATGTTTTCCACCCGTTCTCGCCTCCCCGCAGCTCGGCGCATCTCTGTCTGATCGCGGCTTCTGTCTGCTGCGGCGGGCTGCCGGCTCGTGGAGCTCTCGGAGACCTCTGCGTTCGACCCGGTTTTACCCAGCGGTCAGCCCGGCCTATCTCTGACTCAGAAGCTCTGGTGTTGTGCACAGTTAACTCCGGTTGTAGCTAGGTTGCTACCTCCGTTAGCTTAGCTCCCACCTCCGCATTAGCTTTGGGTTAGCTTCAGGCTAGCTTGCAGCTAGTTCGACCGGGTGTCGTCAGTTGATCCCAGCCTTACAGCCCCACCCTCAGCTCCACCTCTCTTCCCTTTTATGGAATTGTCTGGGCTTGACGGAACCCGTGACACGGTCAAAATGGCTGTGGTGGCCACCTCCCATTTTAGTACAAAAACGTATTATTGGAGTCTATGAAAACCCATTGTCCATATCGATGGTTCAAACATCTGAATCGGGAGGGGCTCCTCTCATCCTTTAGTCCTCCCTAATGACGGACTTAAGACCCGGAATCTGATTTTGACAGCTGCAGAGAAAAGCAGCATGTCTGATTATTATTTACGCATTTAAGATCATCTGATCCAGGATCCCAGAGATGGTGTCAGGAACACCTCCCAGAAACCCGTCTAGTGGTCCTCAGATCAAAGGGAACTACAGGAACACGCAGCTACGGACTTCCTGGCACTTTGATAAAAAAACCTGAATGACAGCTTTTGTTTGCTACGGTTCATCCGTAAAAGCGCCCTGGCTTCTGGTGGATGTGCTGCTGAAGTGCTGGAAAGTCGTGGCTGATGGCCAGGAGCTATCATCTACCTGACACCTGCTATTGAGTACCTGATACTAACTACACAATACCTGATACAGAGTACGGGATGCCTGCCGCAAAATAATGACAAAGAGTACCTAATACTTGAGACAGAGTACTTGCTACCTGATACAGAGTACTTGCTACCTGATACAAAGTACCTAATACCTGATACAGAGTACCTAACACCTGATACAGATTACCTAACATCTGATAGAGTACTTGCTACCTGATACAAAGTACCTAATACCTGATACAGAGTGCCTGATACCTGACACAGAGTACCTAATGCCTGATACAGAGTACCTGATACTTGAGACAGAGTACTTGCTACCTGATACAGAGTACCTAATACCTGATGCAGAGTGCCTAATACCTGATACAGAGTACTTGATACCTGACACAGAGTACCTAATGCCTGATACAGAGTACCTGATACTTGAGACAGAGTACTTGCTACCTGATACAGAGTACCTAATACCTGATGCAGAGTACCTGCTACCTGAGACAGAGTACTTGCTACCTGATACAAAGTACCTAATACCTGATACAGAGTACCTAACACCTGATACAGATTACCTAACATCTGATAGAGTACTTGCTACCTGATACAAAGTACCTAATACCTGATACAGAGTGCCTGATACCTGACACAGAGTACCTAATGCCTGATACAGAGTACCTGATACTTGAGACAGAGTACTTGCTACCTGATACAGAGTACCTAATACCTGATGCAGAGTGCCTAATACCTGATACAGAGTACTTGATACCTGACACAGAGTACCTAATGCCTGATACAGAGTACCTGATACTTGAGACAGAGTACTTGCTACCTGATACAGAGTACCTAATACCTGATGCAGAGTACCTGCTACCTAAGACAGAGAACATGCTACCTGATAAAAAGTACCTAATACCCGATACAGACAACCTGATAGCTGATACAGAGTACCTAACAAATGATACAGATTACCTACCACCTGGTACATAGTACTTGCTACCTGATACAAAGTAGCTAATACCTGATAAAGAGTTCTTGCTACCTGATGCAGATTGCTTTCTATCTCATACACAGTACTTGCTACCTGATACAAAGTACCTAATTCCTGATACAGAGTACCTGATACAGAGTACCTTATGCTTGATACAGAGTACCTGATACCTGATACAAAGTACCTAATGACTGATACAGAGTACCTAATGCCTGATACAGAGTACCTGATGCCTAATTCAGAGTAATTGCTACCTGATACAGAGTACCTAATGCCTGATACAGAGTACCTAATACCTGATACAGAGTACCTAATGCCTGATACAAAGTACCTAATGCCTGATACAGAGTGCCTGATACAGAGTACCTTATGCTTGATACAGAGTACCTGATACCTGATACAAAGTACCTAATGCCTGATACAGAGTACCTAATGCCTGATACAGAGTACCTGATGCCTAATTCAGAGTACCCGATACCTAATACAGAGTACTTGCTACCTGATACAGAGTACCTAATAACTGACACAGAGTACCTGACACCTGATACAGAGTAATTGCTACCTGATACAGAGTACCTAATGCCTGATACAGAGTACCTAATACCTGATACAGAGTACCTAATGCCTGATACAAAGTACCTAATGCCTGATACAGAGTACTTGCTACCTGATACAGAGTACCTAATGCCTGATACAGAGTACCTAATGCCTGATACAGAGTACCTGATACCCGAAACAGAGTACTTGCTACCTGACACAAAATACCTAAAACCTGATACAGATAATGTGATAACTGATACGGAGTACTTGCTACCTGATACAACGTACCTAATACCTGATAAAGAATTCTTGCTACCTGATAGAGTACTTGCTACCTGATGCAGAGTACTTTCTACCTCATACACAGCACTTGCTACCTGATACAAAGTACTTAATACCTGATACAGAGTGCCTGATACAGAGTACCTAATGCTTGATATAGAGTACCTGATACCTGATACAAAGTACCTAATGCCTGATACAGAGTACCTAATGCCTGATACTGAGTACCTGATGCCTAATTCAGAGTACCCAATACCTAATACAGAGTACTTGCTACCTGATACAGAGTACCTAATAACTGACACAGAGTACCTGACACCTGATACAGAGTAATTGCTACCTAATACAGAGTACCTAATACCTGATACAGAGTACCTAATGCCTGATACAAAGTACCTAATACCTGATACAGAATACCTAATGTCTGATACAGAGTACCTAATGCCTGATACAGAGTACCTGATACCTGATACAGAGTACTTGCTACCTGATACAAAGTACCTAATACCTGATAAAGAGTTCTTGCTACCTGATACAGAGTACTTGCTACCTGATAAAAAGTACCTAACACCTGATACATAGTACATGCTACCTGATACAGAGTACCTAAAACCCTGATACAGAGTACGTGATACCTGCCGCAAAGTAATTATACAGAGTACCTGATACTTGAGAGAGTACTTGCTACCTGATACAGGGTACCTAATACCTGAAACAGAGTACCTGCTACCTGAGACAGAGTACTTGCTACCTGATACAAAGCACCTAATACCTGATACAGAGTACCTAATGCCTGATACAGAGTACCTGATACCTGATACAGAGTACCTAATGCCTGATACAGAGTACCTGATACCTGATACAGAGTACCTGTTACCTGATACAGAGTACCTAACGCCAGACACAGAGTACCTGATACCTGATAGAGAGTGCCTAATGCCTGACACAGAGTACCTAATGCCCCGTACAGAGTACCTGATACCTGATACAGAGTACCTAATGTATAATAGAGTACTTGCTACCTGAAACAGAGTACCTAAAACTCAATACAGAGTACTTGCTACCTGATAGAGAGTACCTAATACGTGATAGAGTACCTAATGCCTGATACAGATTACCTGATACCTGATACAGAGTACCTAACGTCTGATACAGAGTACCTAATACCTGATACAGAGTACCTAATGCCTGATACAGAGTACCTGATACCTGATACAGAGTACTTGCTACCTGATACAAAGTACCTAATACCCGATAAAGAGTTCTTGCTACCTGATACAGAGTACTTGCTACCTGATAAAAAGTACCTAACACCTGATACAGAGTACATGCTACCTGATACAGAGTACCTAAAACCCTGATACAGAGTACGTGATACCTGCAGCAAAGTAATTATACAGAGTACCTGATACTTGAGAGAGTACTTGCTACCTGATACAGGGTACCTAATACCTTAAACAGAGTACCTGCTACCTGAGACAGAGTACTTGCTACCTGATACAAAGCACCTAATACCTGATACAGAGTACCTAATGCCTGATACAGAGTACCTAATACCTGATACAGAGTACCTAATGCCTGATACAGAGTACCTGATACCTGATACAGAGTACCTGTTACCTGATACAGAGTACCTAACGCCAGATACAGAGTACCTGATACCCTATAGAGAGTACCTAATGCCTGACACAGAGTACCTAATGCCCCGTACAGAGTACCTGATACCTGATACAGAGTACCTAATGTCTAATAGAGTACTTGCTACCTGAAACAGAGTACCTAAAACTCAATACAGAGTACTTGCTACCTGATAGAGAGTACCTAATACGTGATAGAGTACCTAATGCCTGATACAGAGTACCCGATACCTGATACAGAGTACCTAACGTCTGATACAGAGTACCTAATACCTGATACAGAGTACCTAATGCCTGATACAGAGTACCTGATACCTGATACAGAGTACCTAATGCCTGATACAGAGTACCTAATACCTGATACAGAGTACCTAATGCCTGATACAGAGTACTTGCTACCTGATAAGAGTACCTAATACCTGATAGAGTATCTAATGCCTGATACAGAGTACCTAATACCTGATACAGAGTACTTGCTACTTGATACAGAGTACCTAATACCTGAAACAGAGTACCTAATACCTGATACAGAGTACTTGCTACTTGATACAGAGTACCTAATACCTGAAACAGAGTACCTGATTCCTGATACAGAGTACCTCACACCTGATACCTGATGAAAATACAATTCTGATAACGTGAGTTTTGGTAAAACCAGTAAAGATTTGGCTGTTAATTAGAAACAGTCAGTGTTCTAATGTAACTTTTGGTTCAACCAAGCATGACTTGATGTCAGTAAAACACAATAAGAGGGTAGGTATAAACTAATGAAATACACTAAATTGCTGCATGACAATAAACTATAAAGTCATGCAAATATTTGTATAAGTACTCGGTGTCAGCGAATACTCAGATGTAAGTACTTGTACTTACTCTGTTGGTTTGACTAATTGGAATTCCTTCTTTTTTAAAACTTCCAACAAAGATCCAGACCAGTTGGTGTGTGATCCTGCTGTAGTATTATCTAATGAGTTTGTCACATGAGCATGAGAGCACTGAAACAGCTGACTCATCGGGCCTTAGATCCTCTAGTGCTCTATACCTCTGAGGAACAATTGGTCATTCTTGTTGCTCACCATAATCAGAGTCTTTGAAGCAGGCATCCATGTGATCCTGCTCATCGTCATCATAATCCAGACTCTCAATGCTGCTGCTCTTCCTGGGCTTCTTCGGGAGGCGTTTGGTCGCCCGTTTACTGCCGCCACCTCCACCTGCCTTTCTGCAGACTTGTGAGCTGTGTGAGTTGTTTTTGGACTGGTTGTGGCTCCACGGCTGCTGAAGGCTCTCTGAAGATGACAGGTTGGCCATGGACAGCATGCCCTGAATGGCCTCCTGTGTGCTGGGAGACGCAGGTGGCTGACTGCAGCATGACAGTAAGACACATAGAACACTGTAGATGAAACCACTGAGCAGCAGGCTGTATTGATGCACATCCTACACCTCTGAGTGTCTGGGACTGTGGCTCTGAGCTCACATTACACTCTCTTCTCCTTAAAGCATTAAAACATCTGGGCTTCTTCTTTTGAGATAAATAGAGTAGCGTAGTTTATCTACATAACTAGGATTTAACGCTGTTTGCTATCAGCTTTGCTAAATCATGAGAAATATCAAACAAACTGGCAAATGAACTTATATTTACATAGATATCCACAGATATTTATATAATCGATAGAAGTTCATACACCAACTGGCTTGGTCTATATTTAATCCAAAGATTAATATTTAATTTAAGAGATTGAAATTAATAGCAAAAGTTTATTTACTTAAACCAGAAGACTTAATGGCATCTTTGCTTGTTCAATGACCAAATATACACCACTCTGTGTTAAAGAAGAGTCAGGTTTAAAAAGTTAAGAATTTATTACTAACAATTTAAAGATGACAATTTAAAAGACAATTCATAAATGACAATTTATAAAAGCTTTGATATTAAAACTTGGTATTAAAGCAACCTGTGTCTGGATGAAAGCTAAAATGAAATGTGTGTGTTTGGATGTGTGAATGTAAGTCTCAGAAGGTTTCTATCAGAGAGAGAAAACGCGTTCTGGGTGAAAGAGTTTGTTTTGCAGCTAACTAGAGTATTTCTTAAAGGGAACAGCATACAGACGCAATCTGTGTTCTACCTCACTGTTCAGACGACCCTCTGTGTGGATCCGGAGGTCAAGGGAGGATGTTGTCAGCCTCTGGGTACTCGGTCCGGTAGAGAAGACCCGAGTGGTACCGACTCTCTGGTCCTTGAGTTGCCGCAGGCACACAGGTGGACGGTTTGCGTCTTAAATGAACTCTGAAGGAGTTTTGCGTCAGCTGGTTGCAGATGGCGTCTTGTTGGAGCAATTCTGTCAGCGTGACAGAAAAGCTTAGTAGAGGTTTCGAGCGGCCGACCCGATCTCCTGGACTTTCGTTGCCACGGAGAGATTTTGGTGAGCTCAAGAACTGAACTTGAACTGAGGAGTTTAGGTTTTACCAAACCTCAGGACACGCCCTCTCAGAGATAGAAAGCTTTGTTGTTATGGAGCAGTTACCTTTACCCTGATTTCAGTGTCCTGCATGGTGTGTATAAGTGCACATGACCTTCTGTCACTGATCAACATTACTGATTATCATAAATAATAATTATTATTAACCAAAGAATAATAATTACTTTCAGTAATTAAATACATTTATAATGAACCTTGATGATTATTTATGAACCTTGTAATAGACTATAATGGTTCTTTTAAATCTTGAAGTGTCCTTCATCTTGCGGATGGAACAGCAGTCAGATAAAAGGCAGTCAGATTAAAAGGGTGGTAGACCGACATTCAGCCTCCTGTGATGGATAATCTGTAGATAGAAGTACAGCCAGGATAGCCTGACCCAGCTGAGGAAGTGTGACCTTTGGGTCACAAATGAGGCCATTCATGTCGCTACAATAGTTTTGTGTCATTGCAACATTTCTGTCTGTTCTGGATTATGAAGCCCTTTTGTATATGAATGCCTCAGCACAGTGTCTTGGTAAGATTGATGTGTTTATCATGCCTGCTGAGGTTTATTACTAGCTAGGGCTGCTCAATTAATCGAATTTTAATCACGATTACGATCTGAGTTTTGAACGATTATAAAAACAAAACAAGCCGATTATTTGCTCCTCCCGCTTGCGCTGCCCTGAGTTGCAAATGAAGCGCTCCTCCACAGTGTTGCCAACTTAGCGACTTTGACACTATTTCTAGCAGCTTTTCAGACCCCCTTCTTGACTTTTTAATCCTAAAAGTACCTGGCGAACATCTCAGAAACATCTCTGGTAACCCTTAGCTACTTTCTGGATAACTGTCGTCGACATTTTCTGCAAGTTAGCTAAACACTCCGCCTGTGCTCCGGACCGTTCTTCACAACATTAGGAAAGGGAATGATGTAGTGATGTGTCGGCCGCTAAAGACAGCTCTCGGAGCCGGCTCCCTGTTGGATTAACCAGAGTGAGTGACACACACACCGCACCTGCGGACTCCTGAGCAGCTAAAAACAGCTAAATGTGCGCGTGCAGCGTGCTAAACACACGTGCAGCTTGCCCGATTGCTGTGAGACCGGGGGGTGGGGGGTGCAGCTGTGGTTGGGACAATTGTTACATTAACTGATGGACTTGTAAATAAATAGTTTATAAATAAGGTAGAAATAAGTTCCTCACGCTGATAAATAATAACTAATCTCTCTGAGGACACGGTGCTAGTGCACTCTCCTACAGCACCTTGACACGACTCAATAAATGTTATGCAACATTTTGTGAACATCAATTTATTTGCATTTACTTGTTATAATTTATTTGTATATTTCTTGCTGTCAGTATTTGCAAGACATTGGTATTTGGTTAGGGTTAGGTATTTGGTCACGGATCATCTTGTTTCTTATTTTTGTCCTGATTGTGCCCTGAGCAGTTTTATGACTGAATAAAAACAAATAAAATCAACATAAATTGAAAAATCGTCCTAAATAATCGTGATCTCAATTTCAGTCACCATAATCGTGATTATTATTTTTGCCATAATCGAGCAGCCCTATTACTAGCTGTAGACCACTGACCCATCATTGTGAATTGTATTCTCCAGTGGGATGGCCTTCTTTGTCCACCCGGAGGTAGGGACATTGCTTGGATTACTACCCACCTACATTTGTAACTTTATCTCATCGAGAAATGTAACTTCCCGGTAACGATCAGCTGTTACTTTGTGTCCTGTTTGCCGCACCAAACTGCACTTTCTGCATGGAACAGGCTGCAGGAAATAAGGAGATCACAGCGTTTATCTCCTTGAATACATTTAAAACCAGAATGAGAGCCCGTGTAACGTCCAGCAGTGGTCAGTTTTCACCTACAGATTGACCTACACGCCACCGGTCATCTACAGGCCTAATTCCACCCTCTAAGGTGGATTTTACATTCTACCGTCCAACATGCCACAAGGTTCTGCAAACCTTGTTGGCATTTCAGGAGGAACAAGATGTCAGCCTATGTTCCCAAACAAAGCCTTCTTTTGATAACGCCGCAGGATGGCTCACTCTCATGAAAAAGGAACTTTTACAACTCATCAGTTAAATAATCATTAAATAATATGGTTGAATGAACAAATGTTATATGAATACTAATGAAATGTTTTGATTAATCTGTACTTAAATTACTGTGGTTGAAATGAATTTTATTATTACAATGAAACATTTTGGTGTTATGATCAGTAACGTTTGGTTTAACAAGTACATCATTATCTACACAGACACCATGTTCATTAGAGACAAATTAAAGTTAAAGTAACATCACTGCACATTGATATTTTCTTACCCACAAATCAGAGCATCCTGTATCTGAAAGAAGGCGGAATGTTCTGAGGTTTGTGTGTTAACACCCCTTAACATGGCACGTCCCGATTGGCCAAGTAAATCCTAATATGAGAATATTAAAACAGAATCACTTCCGGAGTGATTCAGCATTCCAGCGTTCTGTGAGATTCAGCATTCTGTTAGTTGAGTTAACTCTGACTGGCCATCGGAGGGAAACTCTGCTCACACCACATCTCTTGACAAGCTTTCGACAAGCTAAAAGCTGCCTACAGCTGACACAGCAAAACAGTTCCTGCAGAACAAAACTGATACAATTCCGACTCCCTAGGAGTCCTTCTACACGCAAATAATTTCATCTATCTGTTGACATCTCTGGACTGGAGCGTCGGAGCTGCGGTTAATCGACTGAACCTCGGTGCCCAGAGGTCATCCGACCTTCCTGACCTCCGGATCCGCGAAGAGGGTCTCCAAAGAAAGGGTGAGGTAGACACAGCGTGATTGCGTCTGATGCTGTTTTGATGAGAACCAACTTCATAGTTTAATGCAAACCAAATTCTTTTCACGCCCAGAACTCAGTTCTTCTAGATCCAAGGTTCTGATAAACACACACCATTCAATCACCATACATCACATCCCATCCACTTAGATCCAGTCATCACATAAAGGTTCCCTAGTTGTCACGTTTTTAATTGTTTAGAAAATAAAATTCTCACTTTTTATAAACCTGACTCTGTCTGAAAGAATCGAAGTGTGTTTGATCCCTGAACAGGCAAAGAATCCTAGAATCTTCTGATTAAACATCCAAAGACCAATCAGGTTGATATTCTATATTTATATAGAATATCACATCATAAGCAAATGTAATATATTAAGCTTTACAATATTATACCCCTACAGTTGTAACTTACTCCTATAATAACTACCTGTGTAACTGAATACATTTTGTGACTATCTTTGCCGCCTCTTGGCCAGGACTCCACTGAAGTTTTTAATCTCCATGAGAGCTTCCTGGTTAAATGAATAAATAAAGTAACACATGAACTTGTTACAGAGACATTTTCTTTCTTACATTTGTGGTTCTAACACACCACATCATCAAAGGCTGAAGGAGAGCAGCAATACAGAAAGCCAACACACACACACACACACACACACACACACACACACACACACACACACACACACACACACAAAGAGAGAGAGAGAGTTGTCCGTTTGTCAGTGCCTCGGCCCATTAAGGAGCCCAGAAACCAATTTAAAGAGCAAGTCACCCCCTACCAGAGTCTAACTTCACTCCCACTTCATGTTTGAAAAATGCAACAAATGCTGTTGCCTGGCAGCCTGAGAGGGCGGAGCTGCTAACAAATACACACTCAGGCTCACGACAGCATTGTGACATCATAATGTACCAGTTTACATCATAGCATACCTCTTAGCCAATAGCGGTGGCAGATTTAATTTAGAATACAGTGCAGAGTTTTTACCTGACGACGGCACAACACTGCCAGTTTTAGGCAGAATATTTAAATTTTAACTAAGATGCACTGAAGTGCCAAATTATTGACGACACGTGTCTGCAGCACGATTAGACACTCGTTTATTTAGTTTATCAGCAAAAAAAAGTTTATTTGGGGGTGACTTGCTCTTTAAGGAGGAGAGAAGAGGTCCCATGGTTATTGATGTTCCTGCAGGGACGGTGGCTTTGAGGGGATCGGGAACTAACCAAATCCCGGTCAGGTCGTACCTGTTGGTGCTGTAGTCGATCCCCCCCACCTGCTTGCTGGCCTGAAGCAGGTCCAGGATCCCTGCTGCACTTCCACTCTTCTTCTTCACCTTAGAGTTCCGACTCTTGACCTCAGGCCGGGCCTCTGTGTCGATGTGTAAGGTCTCTTCATCTGAAGAATCCATGCTCTGGTTTGGGAGGAAGAGAAGGGAGACGACGCAGAAGATTATTAAAAGTTATTCCAGGAGGAAATGCCAATTTCCTGGTTTGCATGGGATTTCTGTGTCCCATGAAAACCTCCCAGGTGGATCATTATAAACTTTTCTTCAGCCTTGCTCAGGCTGCAAACAAACACTGCATGGCCAAATAAAAAGTCACCAGCAAAAAAAAAAAAAAAAGGTCACACACTAATATTTCTTTAGACCGTCTTTGGATTTACAGCACACATTCTCTGTGGCATTGTTTCAATAAACTTCTGCAGCATCACCAGATTCATCTCCATCCAGTGTTGCATTAATGTTTCACTAAGATCTAGCACTGATGGTGGTAGAGTCTGACCGCTGCACAAAGCCTTCTCCAGCACATCCCAGAGGGTTAAGGTCTGGACTCTGTGTGTGAAAATGATGCCTCATGCTCCCTGAACCTCTCTTTCACCATCTGAGCCCGATGAATGCCGGCATAGTCATCTTGGAATATGCCCGTGTCATCAGGGAAGATGGGAGTAACCTGGATGTTCAGGTAGTCAGCTGACCTCATTCTTGGAGCCCATCCTGGTGCTGAACCTAGACCTGACCACCTGCAGCAAGCCCAGATCATAACACTGCCCCCACAGGCTTGTACAGTAGGCACTAGGCATGATGGGTGCATCACTTCATCTGCCTCTCTTCTTACCCTGATGCACCATCACTCTGGAACAGGGTCCATCTGGACCCATCAGACATGTTTTTAATAGAGCGTTGGACAGTTCTTAACCCAGTTTTAGTCAATTCTGTATCTCCTTAGATGTTTTCTCTGCTTGATGCCAATGATCTGACCCTTTTCACACAGACTAACATATTTTCCACGACCACCACATGTGTCTTTCCACATGGTTGTTTAAGAAATGAGAAGCAGCTCATTGCACCAGTTGGGTTAAATAACTTGTTGTACCTGAAAGATAATCACCCATGCAATAATTCTCCAAGCTGGAGACTTTTTTTGGCCGGGTAGTGTATAATAATACGGGATCTGGTTCTAGTGCATATTCCCAAACTGGTCTCCATTAAACGGCCAGGTGAACGGCTGTGGAGCTAAAGGTCTGATCCAGCTTCTCCTGACCTCTCAAAAGTAAACATCTGGTCTAATTATGTTACTTCCTGTTTCTCTGGGTACACCCTGCTAAGTCTGCGCTGGTGCTCGGCTAACGCTTCATCTAAATTGATCTAAATTAGCATTTTCACTTTAGTTTGGAAGCAATGCTGTTAACTGTAACACGATTGTAAATGTGTCTTGTTTAGATTACAGCGAGGAGCATCCAGCTTTGACATCTTTTGTCTGGTTCTTTTTTCAACACAACAGAAGAGTTGCTGTTACCTTGTTTTTGCTGACATTTCGACTAACACTGTAGGCTTCCTCAGAGCTTCTACTGTGATGAAAAAAGAACCAAGTAATGCATCCAGCTTTTACAGGTGGGGGTTTGTGTGTCATACGTACCTTGGTCACCAAGGGTTGGAACTTCGGCTTTTTGGCGGGTTGCAGAGGTTCTCTAATATCTGATAAAACTGGACAGAAAAACAACAACAACTCCTTCATACGTAACACAATGAAACAAGATGTGAGAACATCCAAATATTCTTCAAAGCAGGGGTCCCCAACCTCCGGGTCAGGGACCAGCACTCGTTCAGGGATCATTTGGAAGCAAAAGGAATACAAAGTCTTTTTTAGAAGTTCTATGTACATTTATTTTCACACATATCCCAAAGTGGTGAGGAAGTATCAGTCATGGCTTCAATAGGACCTGTTCCCGCTTTGTTAAAGTTCTAACAGTTCTTTGGACAGTCACTTTAAGGAAACAAGCTCTTGCGGGCCACGCCCACTCCTCCTCTAAATGGCTGTTATGTGGCGAGGATCTCAGACATCTGGGAGGGGCTCAGAGTAGAGCTGCTCCTCCTCCAGCCTGGAGGGGGGTGGGCTCTATTCTTATTTCCCCATGTGTGACATCACAAATGGGGAATTTTGGAAATGGCTCATTTTAGGTACACAATTCCTGAAACCAAACATTAGCCACGTTTACATGCGCCAAATTCCCCCATCCAATTCAAATCTTGGTTGATCGGAAATCATGAACACTAACTGAAATGATCTAATCATGCGGTGAGTTTATATGCACCAAGTATTCAATCAGATTAAATAGGTTAAAGGGGCATTATGGAAGTGTGACAGCCAAAACATGTATAGAAATAATAAATGTCTTCTTCATACATTCTCCTGCAATGCCCTGGTCCTGTAGAATGAGTCCTGGCATTTTTACTGTGATTGCCTGTTTTTCTGTAAAATCACAGAAAAAGAGAGATGCTCGGGTCGAGCAGGCTGCTTCATGCGCGTTCACGCTCAGGCATCGCCCGTAGCATTTGCTATCCGTAGCTTTAGCAGCAGAGAGAGAGGCAGTGACAACTCAGTGACATTGTCGCTGTTCCTAACGCCTAGTGATGAACCTAGCTACATTTCTGAGGACCCTTAGCTACTTTCTTCTTGATATTTCCTGCAAATTAGCAACAAAATAGCCATTTTCGCTCCGAACCGTTCTTTGAACGTTGTTTCAGCTGTCATCAAGGATATAAATGTTACAGATACAAAAGATGTCACCGGCGCCTCAGCTCACCTAGTTAGGCGTCGGACTCTCGTGCAGAAAACCCGAGTTCGATTGTGGATGTTAATATAGTTTATTTAGTGTTTATTTTTTACATAAATGGTGTATTTTTTTACAGTAAGATGCCCAAATTTTGATTTGAAACTCTCCGAACGGCATTGAATTCACAGATAAAAAAGATGTGGGTTCAACTTTCATTTTGGAGCAATTTTTCAAGCAAGGGAAGGGAATGATCTGAGCATGCAGGAGGACTGACCCATCATAAACCTTTGTCGGCTGTGCTGAAGAGAAAGCTACAGAACCAAAGTATTTAATTAATTAGCTGCGTGTTCTCCTGTCCTCTGTCCTCCGGGCCACACACACACACACACACACACACACACACACACACACACACACACACACACACACACACACGGGACTGTCTCAGATGTTATTTTCGTTAAGGAGTGTGCACGTACAGCATGCGCGCCTCGTGCACGAGCCTACTATTGAAGCTGCCGTTACGCTTTTGGCCCTCGGGGGCAATCACGAGCATAAAAATTCAAAACTCCGTAAAGTCCCTTTAAGCATGCACAGTTTTCTTTCCCGGAAAAAATAATTGTAAATAAACGTCATCAAACTAATAGAAAAATGTAAAAAAATAAATAAATAAAACAAATCTTCCTGCTTTTCTGATTCATTTAATCAATTGAATGTTTTTATTTTGCTCATAGAAGTTATGTTTTCTTCAGTGATTAACTGCATATTTATGCTTTTCTGTGTTTTATTAGTACAATATCAAAATAAGGGAGGTTATCCTTGTGTCTACCTCTTGATCGGCTGGTCTGCGGGTCTGAAGTGACGGCTGGGCGCAGCGGGGGTGGGGGGTTCAGACTCTCAGCTCTGTTATTACTAATAAACGTGACAATCAGCTGAAACTGTTGAGAACATTTGGTTCAAAATAATAACAACCAACAATAAACGAACCGCATCTCAGGTCATCTGTGCTAACGTGCTTTTACACAGATCGTCACCCAGAGTATTCAACTGAGGATGTTTTTCTACTGAACATCAGTCTCCTTAAACTCAAACCGGGTCTGCGTAACCGACGTTACCCTGCCTTCTTTACGAGCACGTCTCCATCATCCACCTGCTGCAGAAACAGCTGCTGCGTTCACAGAAACGGGGATCCGTGCTGCAAACCCAAAATTAATCTGCATGTTTCCAGTACAGACTTGAACGTGTTTGTGCAATAAACAGATTTTTATTTTACTTCCACAAAATGCAAGTTCTGGATTAGAAATTACAGAAATGGGACGACTCACCATCAAAATTAAAAGCCGGCGCTCGTTAATTAAGCCATCATTTCTTACGTCAGGTAGTCTAAATGACGGCGGGGAGGCTCGCTAGCTGTTGCACACATGCGCAGTGGGCATCATTTTACTTCAACAACCCGAACGGCTGTGTACATGCACCTCAATCGGAATGAGGATCGGACAAAACCACTTCTCTCAATCGGATTTGAATTTCATTCCGATCGGGCCTAATTGGATCCGAACATTCCCGTTGACACGTGTACATGCAGAATTTTTGATCTGATTGGGCGTTCAATCTGATTAATTGTGTCCATGTAAACGTGGCTAATGAGAGAAAACAAATGGATACGTGTTTATAAAAGAGGTAGAGAGCCACATGGCAGCACAAACGGATGTAGAAGATGATCTGTGTATAATCATCATACCACTGAAACATGGCGTGTATAAGCACAGGACACTCACAGGGTAGATCTCTCTTAACCATGTTTTTTTTCCGCCTGATGGGAAATTCGTCGATCTTCAGCTCTCCTTCATCTGAGACATATTCGTATTCATCCCTCACCGGCTTGGTTTTGTCATCTTTTAGGTTTTGTAATGATCCAAAAACACTGGAGTTGGTCTGAGGCTTCAGGACCTTGGAGCTAAAATGATACCACAGAACAATAAAAGCTTTGAATTAGTTCTGATGGAGAGGAAGCAGCCGAGACTAATGAAACGTTTATGTCCAATCAGGGCCATCGTACACACCTGAGCATTTTCCGGTGAGACATGGTGAAGCTGAATCTGTCTTTATTGCCTGACAGTGGTGTTCTGTCAAATTTACACTCTTCTTCCATTTTCAGCAAGGAATCAGGCTTACTGTTCTGTAATGTTCAAAAACAAACAACATCTCCATAAGATGCCAAATTAAACCCAATCAGGTTTACAGTCATTTTTTTCTTTGGGGCTTCCAACTCATTTAGGACATATTGCTCTCAGGATGTAGTAACAAGTCAAAACAAAGATGTTTTCTGAATGGAGCTGTTTTCAGTAATGAAAAGCAGAGGAAGGCTTTAGGATTCTAGGGCTGAGGCTCTTTAATTTGTCACTTTTTCAAAGGAACCAAAGGTAATTCCCTGAATGGGTTGATTATTCCCTATTTAACCCTCCCACCATCTTTACGGGTGTGACCCCACGAGGAAAGTTGACCATTGAGCAGGGTTGATGGTTTATCCCTTGAGGTCCACATGGAAAGGGTGAGGTGGTGCTCACTCCTCACCCCTGCCACGTGGACCTCAAGGGATAAACCATCAACCCTGCTCAATGGTCAACTTTCCTCGCGGGGTCACATCCGTTAAGACGGTGGGAGGGTTAAAGCTCTAATGGTGAATCTGTAAAACAAGCTAGCTTTTAAACACAAACACAGGCCCTCTTAAACTAAACTGCAACTCTTCACAGCGGGTAACAACCAAGGAAACACACAGGCCCAAACTTCACTACATAAACAACAACACCAAAACAGATAGTGAGCATTAGCATACCATACCTACAAGGAAAAATGAAACGCGTCCGAAAATTCCTCCAAAAACATCACATTGCAAACGTCATAAAACCATAAAATAAACTAAAACAACTGCTAATGCACCCAAAGGACCAACCAAACCCCGCCCAACAATGCAACGTCGTCTATAAAATAACCTGCCTGTCATGTACATTGGAGAAACAGGGTGACAGCTGCACATCCGAACAAAGGAACACCACTCAGAATGCAACAACGTGACAAGAAACAGACTAACAAGACATAAAAAGAACGTGGCTGGCAGCAAAACCAAGAAATACGCCATAATGGACCACTGTAGACAAAACAATCATGTGATGGACTGGAACGACACAAAAATCAGGGCACAGGACAGATCAACCAGCAGGGATGAGGGAGCATACTGCCTCTCGAGAACCTGGGATGCACTCCTCAGCACCACCACACCATCAAGTGTATGTGGGAGTCCCCGTGGACATGACATCTCCACACGATGCGCTCCAGGAATACCGGGCATAGGCCACGTCAGCAATCCACCTGATGGCAGCCTATGAAGAAGGCTTCAGCCGAGAAGCCGAAACTGTTGGCAGGTAAGACTAAAATTTCTCTTACTAAACGACCTAAAAGAAACTTTTTTCTAATTTCTGATCATGATCTGGTTCAGAACGCCTGTGCTCGGCTTCTGACCAAGTCCTCCAAACACACCCACATCACCCCGCTTCTCCTCCAGCTTCACTGGCTGCCAGTCAACTTCAGGGTTCATTTCAAGATCCTGGTTCTGGTCTATAGGGCCTTACATGGACAAGCACCATCTTACATTGGTGATCTTCTTAGTCCCTACTAGGGATGCACCAATTGCAGTTTTTGGCCGATCACCGATCTTGACAAAAACCTGACTTGCCTATACCGATTTTTGCCGATACCAATTTTGTCTCATCTAAAAGCATATTACATCAATGTTTCTACTTCCTTTTATTGAGAAACCCAATATGAATGCCAGTTTCAACTGGACACAGGGTAATGTTCTCAAATATAAATGAACATATTTAGCAATTAGGGCTGCACAATATATCGAAAAATTATCGTCATCGGGATAACAGGACGTGCGATAGGCCCATCGCAAGGCACGTCAAAAACGGCGATAAATGTTTGGCTCAACATTTCCATCCGTGTCATACATCAGCTTTTTGTAAACCAGCTCTGTTTTTTACGCGGAAGTATTATTTGACCAATCTAATGTAGTCCTTCTGATATGCGACCAATCAGATGGGTCCGTTCACGTAATACGCCCGCCCCCTACGTAGACCCCTAGGATGGGTGGAATGCAACACCCGAACTGAGTTAGCGGCGCCGTTCCCATGTTCGTCATGCTGGCTCAGAGCAACGAACGCACTTTGTGCTGAGGTTTCTGGATTCAGCGCTGCTTTCAAACGTGAACACGAGTCTGCTCGGTGTCGTTAAGCAGCTGATAGTAACCGGGCTGACTCCGACACGTGCCGGTGAACCAACCCACCTCCATGTCGCTAGTGTTCCACCGGGTGGTGATGTTAGCCCCAGGCTCCGGTTAGCTTCCAGCTAAAAGGCTACAGCACTCTCCTCCCAGTCCCACCCTGCTAAAGAGGGTCTGGAAAGGTTCCCCCACACATCAAAGTGATTTTTCATTTATGAGCTTTTATAACCTTGTTAATCAGGACAGTTGATTTGCTGCTACACATAAACTGTCAGTCAGAAGCTCTGCTAGCCGGTTATCTTAGAGGAGCTAGTTCAATGTGTTAGCTAGTTATCAGAATCATAGTTGCAGTTTCATCATCTGAGCTGCTTTTTAAGATCTAGGTAAACTTGTTCAATTTGGGGTTAAAAACAAACGTTTTCACATATTTTTCATGTAGTTTTTTTTGCCAGTTCCTCTTCTGAAAGGTAGACAATTGTTTTTCTCTTTCCCTCAGAAAATCTTAATATTCTCCTAGTTTGGCCCAGCACAGTTCACTTCCCAGTTACAGCAACAGCCTTATATCATAACCACATAAGTGGAGAAAATGCTCAGTAGCAACGAGAGAATTTGCTGTTGCATTTAAGTGATGTTAACTATTATTTAACAAGTAAACTTATTTTCTGATTTTTTTATTTATTCTAAAAACCCTGGTAAGGGATGTTTTTCTGTATTTGGAGCATCAAAAAAAGTTTTATGGTGGAGGTGATGTTTTAAAGTCACTGAGAAACTGCATGCATGCAGTTTGTTGTTTTGCTGCTAATACAGTAGCAGGTGCAGCTGCTAATACAGTAGCAGGTGCGGCTGCTAATACAGTAGCGGGTGCGGCTGCTAATACAGTAGCGGGTGCGGCTGCTAATACAGTAGCGGGTGCGGCTGCTAATACAGTAGCGGGTGCGGCTGCTAATACAGTAGCGGGTGCGGCTGCTAATACAGTAGCGGGTGCGGCTGCTAATACAGTAGCAGGTGCGGCTGCTAATACAGTAGCGGGTGCGGCTGCTAATACAGTAGCAGGTGCGGCTGCTAATACAGTAGCGGGTGCGGCTGCTAATACAGTAGCGGGTGCGGCTGCTAATACAGTAGCAGGTACGGCTGCTAATACAGTAGCGGGTGCGGCTGCTAATACAGTAGCGGGTGCGGCTGCTAATACAGTAGCGGGTACGGCTGCTAATACAGTAGCAGGTGCGGCTGCTAATACAGTAGCGGGTGCGGCTGCTAATACATTAGCAGGTACGGCTGCTAATACAGTAGCGGGTGCGGATGCTAATACAGTAGCGGGTACGGCTGCTAATACAGTAGCAGGTGCGGCTGCTAATACAGTAGCGGGTGCGGCTGCTAATACAGTAGCAGGTACGGCTGCTAATACAGTAGCAGGTGCAGCTGCTAATACAGTAGCGGGTACGGCTGCTAATACAGTAGCGGGTGCGGCTGCTAATACAGTAGCGGGTACGGCTGCTAATACAGTAGCGGGTGCGGCTGCTAATACAGTAGCGGGTGCGGCTGCTAATACAGTAGCGGGTGCGGCTGCTAATACAGTAGCGGGTGCGGCTGCTAATACAGTAGCGGGTGCGGCTGCTAATACAGTAGCGGGTGCGGCTGCTAATACAGTAGCGGGTGCGGCTGCTAATACAGTAGCGGGTGCGGCTGCTAATACAGTAGCGGGTACGGCTGCTAATACAGTAGCGGGTGCAGCTGCTAATACAGTAGCAGGTGCGGCTGCTAATACAGTAGCGGGTGCGGCTGCTAATACAGTAGCGGGTGCGGCTGCTATTACAGTAGCGGGTGCGGCTGCTAATACAGTAGCGGGTGCGGCTGCTAATACAGTAGCGGGTGCGGCTGCTAATACAGTAGCGGGTGCGGCTGCTAATACAGTAGCGGGTGCGGCTGCTAATACAGTAGCGGGTGCGGCTGCTAATACAGTAGCGGGTGCGGCTGCTAATACAGTAGCGGGTGCGGCTGCTAATACAGTATCGGGTGCGGCTGCTAATACAGTAGCGGGTACGGCTGCTAATACAGTAGCGGGTGCGGCTGCTAATACAGTAGCGGGTACGGCTGCTAATACAGTAGCAGGTGCGGCTGCTAATACAGTAGCGGGTACGGCTGCTAATACAGTAGCAGGTGCGGCTGCTAATACAGTAGCAGGTGCGGCTGCTAATACAGTAGCGGGTGCGGCTGCTAATACAGTAGCGGGTGCGGCTGCTAATACAGTAGCAGGTGCGGCTGCTAATACAGTAGCGGGTGCGGCTGCTAATACAGTAGCAGGTGCGGCTGCTAATACAGTAGCGGGTGCAGCTGCTAATACAGTAGCGGGTGCGGCTGCTAATACAGTAGCGGGTGCGGCTGCTAATACAGTAGCGGGTGCGGCTGCTAATACAGTAGCGGGTGCGGCTGCTAATACAGTAGCGGGTGCGGCTGCTAATACAGTAGCGGGTGCGGCTGCTAATACAGTAGCGGGTGCAGCTGCTAATACAGTAGCAGGTACAGCTGCTAATACAGTAGCGGGTGCAGCTGCTAATACAGTAGCGGGTGCAGCTGCTAATACAGTAGCGGGTGCAGCTGCTAATACAGTAGCAGGTGCAGCTGCTAATACAGTACCAGGTGCAGCTGCTAATGCAGTAGCGGGTACAGCTGCTAATACAGTAGCGGGTGCAGCTGCTAATGCAGTAGCGGGTGCAGCTGCTAAAACAGTAGCAGGTGCAGCTGCTAATACAGTAGCAGGTGCAGCTGCTAATACAGTAGCAGGTGCAGCTGCTAAAACAGTAGCAGGTGCAGCTGCTAATACAGTAGCAGGTGCAGCTGCTAAAACAGTAGCAGGTGCAGCTGCTAATACAGTAGCGGGTGCAGCTGCTAATGCAGTAGCAGGTGCAGCTGCTAATACAGTAGCAGGTGCAGCTGCTAAAACAGTAGCAGGTGCAGCTGCTAATACAGTAGCGGGTGCAGCTGCTAATGCAGTAGCGGGTGCAGCTGCTAATACAGTAGCAGGTGCAGCTGCTAATACAGTAGCAGGTGCGGCTGCTAATACAGTAGCAGGTGCAGCTGCTAATACAGTAGCAGGTGCAGCTGCTAAAACAGTAGCAGGTGCAGCTGCTAATACAGTAGCGGGTGCAGCTGCTAATGCAGTAGCGGGTGCAGCTGCTAATACAGTAGCAGGTGCAGCTGCTAATACAGTAGCAGGTGCGGCTGCTAATGCAGTAGCGGGTACAGCTGCTAATACAGTAGCAGGTGCAGCTGCTAATGCAGTAGCGGGTACAGCTGCTAATACAGTAGCAGGTGCAGCTGCTAATACAGTAGCAGGTGCAGCTGCTAATGCAGTAGCAGGTGCAGCTGCTAATACAGTAGCGGGTGCAGCTGCTAATGCAGTAGCGGGTACAGCTGCTAATACAGTAGCAGGTGCAGCTGCTAATGCAGTTGCGGGTACAGCTGCTAATACAGTAGCAGGTGCAGCTGCTAATGCAGTAGCGGGTACAGCTGCTAATACAGTAGCAGGTGCAGCTGCTAATACAGTAGCAGGTGCAGCTGCTAATGCAGTAGCGGGTACAGCTGCTAATGCAGTAGCAGGTGCAGCTGCTAATACAGTAGCAGGTGCAGCTGCTAATGCAGTAGCGGGTACAGCTGCTAATACAGTAGCAGGTGCAGCTGCATATGTTTTCAATAAAAATGTTATGTCGTAATGGAATTCATGCATTAGTTCTTGTTTGCTTTGAACCCAGAGCAGACGTCACACGCCAGACGACATCAACACTGCATACTTTAGTATTTGTTCATTTATCGTGAGTAATATCGATATCGCAATATTAAGCACTGTTATCGAATATCGCAGGTTTTCCTGATATCGTGCAGCCCTATTAGCAATGTTGTTTGAACTATTAAATCAGATTTGTTCTTTTAGACTTTCATTTTTCTAATTTAGAAAACAAAACTTTTTTACCTGTTTTGACACTTGTCCCAAAAAGATTATTCTATAGCAATGATTTGCTTTAACATGAACTAGGGGTGCACCGATGGCAGTGTTTGGCCAATCACCCATCTTGAAAAAAAAAAATACCTGAGATCGGTTGGCCGATAGATCGGTGCACCACTATTAAAAGCTCTTCTTCTTCTCTGAAGGAACGAAGAGGGCTCTAGATGGTGGTGATGTTCTCTGATGTTACTGAGTTGTTCCCATTTTCTGACCCACTCTAAGCTAAACCAGATGGACTGCATGGAATGCAAGACGGCTGCCATAAAATCACCACTGATCCACTCCTCAGAGAAGGTTTGTCTTACATAGTACACTCAGATTTCACCTGTCTGTGGTTATGGTTAGTAAACAGGAAGAAGCTTCACATCCAGCTCATGAGACATCAGAGGCCTCTGGTGAGCCTGGTGCACACCTAACAGGATTTCTCCTGTACAGGCTCGTGTGGACGGAAAACAGCAAACATTCCACAGCCGTTTGCCATTGAGTTTTCCATGAAACCTAAACCTTCTGATGCCTTCCGTTTGACTCGGTTATCCTTTTGTTCCCTAAAAGCTTTCTCCAATTATGCAACGATAACATTACAATTAACAAGATGCTGTTGGATAAGGATGTGGTTAGTTAAACCGGGGTGGGTGGGGTGCTGACTGTGGCTTTGAAGTGTAAATCCCTGCTGAAGGATTCGTTCTCCAGCTCTGATTGGTTTGTAACACGCAGCCATCAGAGGAAACACCTACCTTATACTTCCACTTTGCTTCAGTCTTGTTTTTGTTCTGTTCTCTCATGTCAAACTTGTCCACGTTGTTCTGCTTGGACACGTCCTTCTCTGGTGGACTCAGGACCGTTTTAACAACCTGGAAAGTAAATCATGACACGACAGTTAGGAGAAGGAAGCTGCACAAGAAAAACTAGAGAGTACATTTTACTCCACGGGACCAAATTTGGTCTTTTTCAGAGTAAAATCTTTTCAATTCGAGTAAAATTTACTCAACAGGTTTCCCTGTGTGGAAATGGAGTCACCATTGTTATTATTATTACTATTATATTACTATCATTATTATTATTTTGTTTTCATTATCATTATTAATATTATTACACTTTTATTTTTTACTAATATCATTATTACTGTTTGCCTGAAGTCTTCAGGGTTGATTTGAGGCTTTGCCTCTTAGAAGTTGACTAAGTCAACAAAACTTTATTGATGTAATTTTTTCTAATTAAAGCTCACCTTTGTCTTTTTGTGTTGGTCCATTTTACTCAAGATGTCCTTGGCATGTGACTCAAGAGCGGCGAAACTGGAGGGTTTTGGAGGTGGTGAGGGCTCCTTGGTCTTCTTTGCTTTCTTCTTTTCTCCTTCTTTGACTTTCGGTACCTTAGGAGGCTTGGCTGCCTTGGGGATCTTCGGGGGTTTGAAGACTTTCTTCCTGGCCCTTTCTCCGCTGGGTGATGGAATGTGGGCCGGGGACACGGGTTCCTCTGGCTCAGAATGGGTGGATGGAGGTTCCTCTACAGGAGCCTTGGTACTCGGCTCGCTCTTGATGGTTTTTGTTGCATTCTGGGACAGAAGCAGAGGAATGAGAGGTGAAACTGACCATTAAACGACCTTGAGACATTCAGCCGCTCTAAGACATGAATTCACTGCCAAATGAAAAAAAATAAAATAAAAGAATTGGAATGAAAGTAAAATGTATGAAATAAAGAGACGCAGCAGACTTGATCTTCACTGATCATCAGCTGTTCTGAAGGGTTCTCTTACCAACTGTTTGGAAGAGTCTCATCTCCTTAACATATTCAGACCAATAATGTTTGTTGTGAACGCTCCTCTAACAAACCTGCTCTGACTCTGACATCCTGAACCAGCAGCATGGTTTTAAAAATCTTCAAAAATTAATAAAGGTTCATACAACTGATTTTATTTAAAGCTCTGCAGATGTATCCTTTTTCAGCCATTACAGTTATTTTAGCAGCAATCTGATTTCTTTCCTCAGTGGCCTAGTGGTAGAGTGTCCGCCCTGAGACTGGGAGATCAGGGTTCGATTCCTGGTCGGGTCATACCAAAGACTTTGAAAAAATGGTGGGCGACGGTGGCACAGGAGTTAAGTGCTCGCCCCGTAATCGGAAGGTTGCAGGTTCGAGCCCCGCTCAGTCTGTCGCTGTCGTTGTGTCCTTGGGCAAGACACTTAACCCACGTTGCCTGCTGGTGGTGGTCGGAGGGACCGGTGGCGCCAGTGCTCGGCAGCCTCGCCTCTGTCAGTGCGCCCCAGGGCAGCTGTGGCTACATCGTAGCTCATCCCCACCAGTGTGTGAATGTGTGTGTGAATGGGTGAATGACTGATTGTGTTGTAAAGCCCCCTGGGGGGGTTCCAGGGTTCTAGAAGGCGCTATATCAAATACAGGCCATTTACCATTTACCATATTGGACCCAATACCTCCCTGCTTGACACTCAGCATTACGGGGTTGGATTGGGGGGTTAAACCACCAAATGGTTCCCGAGCACGTCTGTGTCTGCAGCTCACCGCTCCCCCAGGGGATGGGTCAAATGCGGAGAACAAATTTCGCACACACATCAGTGTGTGTGACAACTGATGGGACTTTGACTTTAACTTTAATGTGTCCCCAGACTGCACCAGCGAGGGTTGGGGTTGCTGCTACTGGCGCTGTACCAGAGTCCAGGAAAATAACGCAAACGAGTGGAAAGCGCTGAAGACTTAAAACCACAGAATTCACTTTGGTTTTTGTCACAGGTGGGCGATATGGCTCAAAAATAATGTCCCAATATTTCAAGGCATCCTTACGACATAACAAAGAACCAGGAGAGGACTGGCCCATCTGGCATCGTCGCTCTCCAATGGGGACAGAAAACTGCCAGGACCAAACTGTCATCCTAGTCCACTCCTGCAAAGAACAGGGCCTTCTTTAGATTTCTATTCATTACTTCTTATACACCTGGGCCCTGTGAATTTATTTTGTTTATTCCCAAACTCCACCTTTTCATTCTAACCATATTCATTAACCACTATATGTGAAAATGTAATAATCCAACAACCCGTTTAACCTTCTCATCTGTAACAAAGTGAATTTTGGAATCATTGCATTGGCTCCCTGTACGTTTCAGGATCAATTTTAAGGTTGTTTTAATGGTTTTTAAGTGTCTTAATGGTCTTGGGCCTTCTTATCCCTCAGAACTGCTTTTACCATATAAACCCTCATGGCTCCTGCACTTCTCTGGCAGGCGTCTCCTGGTCATCCCTAAAGTCAGGACACACACTCACGGGGAGGCGTCCTTCCAGTATTACGGCCCTCACCTCTGGAACGAGCTGCCGGAGAGCCTCAGGACCGCGGAGAACGTTCATGTTTTTAAGTCCAGGCTCAAGAGTCACCTATTTAGGTTAGCTTTTATCTTATTATTTACTATAGTTGTATTCCTCGTTTTACATGATTATATTTTATAACTGGCTTTGCATGTTCTATATGATTATAATTTAGCACAGTTTCATTATTTAATAATATTATTATTTTACTGTCCATGGGATTTGATTTATTATTTATTTTCTTACTTTTGTCATTTATATTAGCTGTTTTAGTTTCATATTTTTACTCATTTTAATCCAGTGTTTTCTCTGTAGGGGCCCTCTGCCCCAGGGGCGGTGGTCGACTGTTGCTTCCTGGGCGCTCTGTAGGTAGTGTTTGAGTGGAAGTGGCAGACGGCTCCTCTGATGGTGTTTCTTTGCCTTACCTGACTTGGCTCATCTGGACTCAGCCGAATATACATTTTTACTGGTGTGTGTGTGTGTGTGTGTGTGTGTGTGTGTGTGTGTGTGTGTGTGGTGTGTGTGTGTGTGTGTGTGTGTGTGTGTGTGTGTGTTAATGTTTTTACACTGTTAAGGGAATTTGGGGTCATTTTAATTCTGTAAAGCAGGTTGGGTAGCACTTTGCTTGAAAAGCACTTCATAAATAAAATCTGACTGATGTGGTTCTGCTGAACATTGGCCACTTATGAAAGATCTGTAAAGGCTTTTACAGACCAAAATAAAAAAACTAAGTACATGATTATTTACAGGTGATGGTCAAAAAATTAGAATAACTGTCATGACTCCCAGGCTGCCACCCTCCTCTGCCTCAGCTGCCTCCTCAATCAAGCTCTCAGCTACTTGATTATCATCACCTGCGCCCTGTCATGCCACACACCTGCTTCCCCAGCCTGCTCTCCAACCAGTACCAGATTACTCACGTACAGAACTTTAGACCACTCAGCAGCAGTCCAGTCCTTTTGTCTTTAGCCCAGGTGAGATGCTTGTGATGGTGCCTCTTGTTCAACAGTGGCTTGACACAACGAATGTGACAGCTGAAACCAGGTCCTTCATACATCTGTTCTTGAAGCACTGACTCTAGCTGCAGTCCACTCTTTGTGACTCCACATTTCTGAACGAGTTTTGTTTCACAATCCTCTCCAGGGTGCGGTTATCCCTATTGTTGTACACTTTTCTACCACATCTTGTCCTTCCCTTCACCTCTCTGTTAATGTGCTTGGACACAGAGCTCTGTGAACAGCCAGCCTCTTTAGCAGTGACCTTTGGTGCCTTCCCCTCCTTGTGCAAGGTGTCAGTGGTCGTCTTTTGGACAACTGTCAAGTCAGCAGTCATCCCCACAATTATGTAGCCTACAGAGCTAGACTGAGAGACCATTTAAAGGCTTTTGAAGATGTTTTGAGTTAATTAGCTCATTAGAGTGTGGCACCAGGGGGTCTTCAATGTTGAACCTTTTCACAATATTCTAATATTCTGAGATACTGTATTTAGGATTTTCATTAGTTATCAGTTATCGTCATCAAAATTATATAAATAAATATTTGAAATATATCAATCTGTGTGGAATGCATTAATCTAATATACAAGTTTCACTTTTTCAATGGAATTACTGAAATAAATCAACATTGTCATGATAATTTCAGTTTATAACCAGCACCTGTAGATAATCATGTACTTAGTTATTTTTCTTGGTCTGTAAAATCCTTTACAGATCTGACAGAGGCAGGGGACACGTTGGACAGGCTTCAGGTCCACCCCAGAGACACACTAACTCATATCTGGGGACAACCTGACATGCATGTGTTTGATCCGTGGGAGGAAGTACCAAGAAAAAACTATACATGCATAAGACGAACACGCCAACTCTTCACTGCAGCTGGGATTTGAACATGTGACCTTCTCATTGGGAGGCAACAGAGCTACCACCTGCTCCACCATGCAGCCCATTTAGAAGTTAAGGATAAAATAATTAAAAATACCTCTGACAGTCTGATCTCTTTGGCAAGATCCTTAATGAGTTGTGATGGTTTCATGTTCTCTGGAAGCTCATCTTCATGTTCCAGTAGAGCCTGTTACAAGCATAGCAAAGAGAACCGCTCCAGTCATGTAGTCAGACACCTAAACTCCACCCATGCTGCTCAGGAGTGTCTCTACCTGTTTTTTAGTCCAGGCTCTGAACGCTCCGTTGATGATTTTGGCACCATGTATCAGATATGGAGCCGGTTGCTTATTTGCTTTATGTAAACCTACAGGAAGAAATGCAAACGTTATCACTGGATGAATCATCTCTGGAGAGGTCACTGTCGTTGGTGTAGAAGGTACATCTTCACAGCTTCATGGCCTGACTAGGATCACCATGACAACCCCCTTTACTCTGACTGAGGTGCAGTGGCCCCACAGCTCCATGATGGTTGAGAACAAAAATAAAAACTTCTGCAGCAAAGTGGAAGTGGGTTGTTTGACCATCTGACATTTGCTATGTGATAATATTGTTTTTGACGTAGCGTCAAAAATTCTTTCAAACTTAGATTTTTACATTTTATAGGCAGAAGGCATTTTTTCAGACACATAATTTCATTTAGTCTTTCAAAGTGCGTCCATGCCACTTCACCTCAACTGGATATTTGTGCAACAAAGAAAGAAAACTATCCAAATGGGACAAAACCCAATGATTAGTATCTGTCCTCCTCAGGGAACCTGATCTGAAGTTAAAGTCAAAGATGATGAGGAGAAAACAGAATAGATTTAGCTCTCTCTCACACACACAGAAATGCTGGGACCACGACCAGCTGGCTGGGGCCAGCTTGTAATGGAGCGAGTGATTCTTGCAGAGCCAAATCTTTTGAAGCTAATCATCTGTGAACTCTGTGATTCACCGATTTAATGACTGAAATCATATTAAAGCATCCAGCTCCTCATCTGCACACCAGACATGCAGGCAGGCGCTGCGCGTGCAGCCCACAGAGGAGGCTCCTGACAGTGTTTGTGTTTTCTCTGGTTCATGCATTCCTTTGGTAAAATGTCTAATTAAACATGAATGTAGATTTACATGAAAATGGCAAATAAGATCTGAGTCCTATAAATGCATCCAACCATGGACGTAATTTTCACTTTAGAAGTGGGGGGGACACGGGGGGAGGGGGGGGGGTATCTTTACAGTATGTTCTAAAGAGAAACAGGCTTCAACACAAACAGTTGTTTTCCTTGGTCCTAGAGCTCAACCAGTGTCAATTTAACATAGCGTAATATTGTTTTTGGATGGTAAAAAGTGCAGGGGTCAAAACTTGACTTTGGAAAAAGTGGGGGGGGACATGTCCCCCCTGTCCCCCCCCAAAATTACGTCCATGCATCCAACTGATCTTTCACTCACTTTTGAATCGCTCGAGGAAGTGCCGTCCAACATACCAGCAGGCCGTCTCAAAATTGGGGAAAGGGTTCAGAGTCTTGACCTTTAGCCGCTTCTCAATTTCATACGCTCTGTGGAGAATGAACCACAGGTTTGCTGACACAAAATATCTACAACACCATCCAAGCATCTCCAGAGAAGAATGCATGGACCCAAACAAGTTCCAGTTAAAAGCTCCAGGAGGTTTCACGTCAACCCGACAGAAGGCTGATCATCAAACAGCACACGTCAAGAACGTTTATGTGATTTAGAACCAAACCTCATCTGCATCTCCACACTCAGATTATGGACAAAGTGTCCAGAGAATGCCAGGCAGTCAACTGGAGTGAGTATTGCATTGATCCATCCTGAAAAAGACAAAAAAAATCAATGACTGTCTTGAGAGATAACGAAGCCCAACAATAATCATCAGAATGATGAATTACTTTAAGCACAGTGAATCACTCTCTTCAGATGGGTGTTTTCCCATCAAACGGTGGTGGTGAAGCCTCATTTGAAGAAGAGTCAATTAGATCCTAATACTCTTGCTAACTTATTGGTTTTAAGTAAAATGACAGAAAAAAAGAGGATTTTTATGCAGCTTAATGACATTTTAAATAAAAACACTATTTTTAGGGGTGGGATTTTAAAGGGGCATTATGGAAGTGTGACAGCCAAAACAAGTATAGAAATAATAAATGTCTTCTTCATACGTTCTCCTGCAATGCCCTGGTCCTGTAGAATGAGCCCTGGTATTTTTACTGTGATTGCCTGTTTTTCTGTAAAATCACAGAAAAAGAGAGATGCTCGGGTCGAGCAGGCTGCTTCATGCGCGTTCACGCTCAGGCATCGCCCTCCGAACCGTTCTTTGAACGTTGTTTCGGCTGTTATCAAGGATATAAATGTTACAGATGCAGAAGATGCTACTGGCGATTTAGCTCGCCTAGTAAAGTTTCGGGCTTTCATGCGGAAAACCCGGGTTCGATTCTCGGTGTGAACATGGTTGTTTCAGAATTTTGTTTTTACATTAATGGTATTTTTTTACAGTAAGATGCCCAAATTTTTATTTGAGACTCGCCCAACGGCATTGAATTCACAGATAAAAAAGATGTGGGTTCAACTTTCATTTTGGAACAATTTTTCAAGCAAGGGAAGGGAATGATCTGAGCATGCAGGAGGACTGACCCATCATAAACCTTTGTCGGCTGTGCTGAAGAGAAAGCTACAGAACCAAATTATTTATTTAATTAGCTGCGTGTTCTCCTGTCCTCTGTCCTCCGGGCCACACACACACACACACACACACACACACACACACACACACACACACACACACACACACACACACACACACACACAAGGAACTGTCAGCTCTCAGAGCTCTGTGAAGCTGTTATTTTCGTTAAGGAGTGTGCACGTACAGCATGCGCGCCTCGTGCACGAGCCTCCTGTTGAAGCTGCCGTTACGCTTATGGCCAGAGGGGGCAATCGCGAGCATAACAATTCAAAACTCCCTAAAGTCCCTTTAACACATTATGATGATGATTAATTAATTAGAAAAAAATTACGCATAAAAATATTTCACGCATTTAATCTGAGCTTGCATTTCTAGCAACGCGGAACCTTTGTCATTGCATGATTTCCTGGCAGACGGAATACTACTGATGCACACAACAGTGCACAGTGCTCTGTTAACGGCTACTAAAATACAATCATTTGCAGAGATTGCCTTGCTTGGATTGCTGCAGTATTTGGGAAGCACGTCAGCCTCTTCTCAAAACTTGTAAAAATAAAAATAAACTTCCTGAAAAGTACAGAGTCTTTGACATGGACATTTTTCAAAGACCGCCTCTGACCTCTGCTGCTGCTGCAGTTACCGGCTGGCACCGACAGCTTTACAAAAGTCGAGGTAAGCTACATTTTTAACATTAGTGCAACATTAGTGCAGGGCTGAACGCACCAGACAGAATGACGCTTTGCTTTAGCAGTAGTTCATGAAAGTAGTCCTACCAACAGCTGGGACAATGCTCCGTGTCATCACTGCTCTGTAAACAGTCACAAACAATGTGTCTTAAAGTAGCAGAAACAATCTAAAATCTCTGATCATTTATGTCATTTTATTATATTTTCCTGAGAACAGTGACTGTCTAAAGATCGCAGCGAGGTGTGTTGAAGCGGTCAGACATCAGCTGATCGGGAGCTAAAGGGGCGGATGTTTACGTTTCCTGTTGGTGGCTGGCAGCTAGGAGGTGGCGAATTAGCGACACAGCTGGCCCTAATCTTCATTTGCAGCCAGGAGCGTTTCATTCCACTGATGCTGCCCCTGATGTCAGCATTATTAATAAGTATAATTATATATCAGCTTTAGTTTGGGATGGACCCAGATAACTTTTTCCTAAATACCCTATATATTTCCTCTGGTCACACATGTCAAACACATTAATATTTGATTTAAATGACATACGTGATGTTTTGTCCTCGATGTGTACTACGTGTGCTAAACGGTTTACGGCGTTAACTTTAGGGTCACATGACCACCACGGACGTATATTTTTAAAACTCACAGCTGCTCAACAAAAACAAAGTCCTCGAGTCTCTACACATCCAGACTCTGGAGAAGAACATGAAAACGGCATAAATGAATAAACGCATCAATGAAATAAATTAGTGATGCATCGATATGAAATATTTGGGCCAATACCGATATCCGATATTGAGTCACTGTTATGGCCGATAACCAATATTTGCTGATTCCAATACACTGACATTAATAATAATAATAATAATAATGCATTGAACTTGTATAGCGCTTTTCTAGACACCCAAAGACGCTTTCACACACTCTCACATTCACACACTGCTAGTGATGGTAAGCTACTTGTAGCCACAGCCGCCCTGGGGAGGTCTGACAGAGGCGAGGCTGCCATTTGGCGCCGTCGGCCCCTCTGACCACCACTAACACAGGCAAGTTGGGTGAAGTGTCTTGCCCAAGGACACAACAGCAGGATACCCCAGGCGGGAGCTGGAATCAAACCCATGACCCTCCGATCATGAGGCAACCCGCTCTACCACCTGAGCTACTGCTGCCCCATTAATGCTTCTAAAATCATCAGATTTTGTATAAATGAAAATTATTAAAGCTAAATTTACATTATCATGTACACACACCACACACATTTACGGTTCTGAGATGATTTCATTCACTGTTCACATGACTAAACAATCCCACATCACCCCCCTCACCCTCTGAAACAGGCAAAGAAATGGAGACAAGATGGAAAAATGATCGGTTGTTAATATCAGCTCAGTTTTATTTATCGAACCGATGCCGATATGTTAAAAAACGACTAACATCGGCCGTTACTGATATTGATGTCGATATATTGTCCATGCCTAAAATAAATGAAAACTTTAATAAGATATGTGGAGAAACAAGAGCTGAAGCGGCCTTCCGGCGTTGCCATGGAAACACGTAAACTCTGCATGCTCTACCTAAACAGCTCCAGCTACACAGCTTTATTCAACCATCTCATCTATTTTAGTTCTGATATCTTTGTAGTCCTCGTAGGAGTGAATGAATAATTAATGCTTCGTCTGGATGAAAACGAGGCTCCATCCTTTACTTCCATTCTCATTTATGATTAACAAGACATCAAACCTTTAACTGGTGTCAAATGTACAAATTCGGTGCAACTCCAACTGATTTTTTGTGTCTCAGATGAATCCCTAACTGTTACAGCTCAGTCAGCACGAGGCTTTAGTGAAGCTTGTTTCAGCTGAAACTTACTGTGAGTCAGTTGTTCTGAGCTGGGTTTGACTTACGGCAGTAGATCATTTGGTGTGAAGCTTGGTGGGAAAACCAAACAGCAGGATTTGATTATTAACCGGATGCGTTTAGATCAGGGGTGTCAAACTCATTTTAGCTCAGGGGCCACATTGTGAGAAATCTAGTCCCAAGTGGGCCGGACCGGTAAATTAAAAACAACTTCAGATTGTTTTCTTTTATTTAATACAATCAATATAAAACAAGGCTGGAGCCTCAGGACAGTTTAGTACAAGTACAACACCTGAAGTGTACTTGAAAATGTGAAAAAAAAAAATCAATCAATAAATAAAGCATTCCTTAGTGATTCAAAGAGCTTACAGATCACATGGCTAGATCAGTTTCATGCAGCACTTAAAGTATATTTGACTAATTTTACTTGACATCTTTTAGCTTTCACCAGCACATCAATATCAGAAGTCACATCCTGAGTGGCGGCCAACTTCAGGATGTGATTCAAGTTCTTGTGTGAGCCTTGAGCGCAGCTTTGTTTTATTTATACTCATTACAGAGAAAACTTGCTCACAAAGATATGTTTATTTTCACTCTACATTGTAAAGTATGAAAATAAAGTTTACACAACCATCTCACGGGCCGGATTTCACCCGCTTGTGGGCCGGACCGCATGTTTGACACCTCTGGTTTAGATGATCGAGTTTTTAGATTTTTGAGTTTTGGATTGTATTGTTCAGCTAATAAAACAAGCTCTGACCTGAGGGGATGAACAGGGTGTGGCCTTGCTTCAGTGTGCATTTGTAACATTTGTCCACCTGGTCGGCAAAGAACATCTCACTGTGATTGGACGATGACCTCCAGCGCTCATAAAGAGACAGGTTGGCCGAGGTGGGTTTGATGAGGAAAAAGATCTTTTCTCCCTGTAAATGTAGTCTTCATCATCATCAACATCATCATCATCATCGTCACCACCACCACCATCATCATAATCATCCTTATCACAATTATCATAATCACCACCATCATCATCAACATCATCATCGTCATCACCACCACCATCATAACCATCACCACCACCACCATCATCATCATCACCACCATAACCATAACCATGATCACCAACACCACCAACATCATCATCATAATCATCCTTATCACCATTATCATAACCACCACCATCATCATCAACATCATCATCGTCATCACCACCACCATCATAACCATCACCACCACCATCATCATCATCATAATCATCCTTATCACCATTATCATATCCACCACCACCACAACCATGAACATCATAACCATCATCTTCATCATCATCATCATCATCATCATCATCACCATCATCATCCTTATCACCATTATCATATCCACCACCACCACAACCATGAACATCATAACCATCATCTTCATCATCATCATCATCATCATCATCATCATCATCATCATCATCATCATCATCATCATCAACATCATAACCACCACCATCATAACCATGAACACCACCACCACCATCATCATCATCACCATAACAATAATCATCATCATCACCACCATAACAATAATCATCATCACCACCACCATCATAACCATCACCACCATAACCATAACCATGATCACCAACACCACCAACATCATCATCATAATCATCCTTATCACCATTATCATAACCACCACCATCATCATCAACATCATCATCGTCATCACCACCACCATCATAACCATCACCACCACCATCATCATCATCATAATCATCCTTATCACCATTATCATATCCACCACCACCACAACCATGAACATCATAACCATCATCTTCATCATCATCATCATCATCATCACCACCATAACAATAATCATCATCACCACCACCATCATAACCATCACCACCATAACCATAACCATGATCACCAACACCACCAACATCATCATCATAATCATCCTTATCACCATTATCATAACCACCACCATCATCATCAACATCATCATCGTCATCACCACCACCATCATAACCATCACCACCACCATCATCATCATCATAATCATCCTTATCACCATTATCATATCCACCACCACCACAACCATGAACATCATAACCATCATCTTCATCATCATCATCATCATCATCACCACCATAACAATAATCATCATCACCACCACCATCATAACCATCACCACCATAACCATAACCATGATCACCAACACCACCAACATCATCATCATAATCATCCTTATCACCATTATCATAACCACCACCATCATCATCAACATCATCATCGTCATCACCACCACCATCATAACCATCACCACCACCATCATCATCATCATAATCATCCTTATCACCATTATCATATCCACCACCACCACAACCATGAACATCATAACCATCATCTTCATCATCATCATCATCATCATCACCACCATAACAATAATCATCATCACCACCACCACCATCATCATCATCACCACCATAACCATAACCATGATCACCACCACCACCATCATCATCATCACCACCATCATAACCATCACCACCACCACCATCATCATCATCACCACCATAACCATAACCATGATCACCACCACCACCATCATCATCATCATAATCATCCTTATCACCATTATCATATCCACCACCACCACCACAACCATCAACATCATAACCATCATCTTCATCATCATCATCATCATCATCATCATCATCATCATCATCACCATCATCAACATCATCTTCACCACCATCATAACCATGAACACCACCACCACCATCATCATCATAATCATAACCATCATCATCATCACCATCATAACAATAATCATCATCATCACCACCACCACCATCATCAACATCACCACCACCACCATCATCAACATCATCACCACCACCATCATCAACATCATCACCACCACCATCATCAACATCATCATCACCACCACCATCATAACCATGAACACCACCACCACCATCATCATCATAATCATAACCATCATCATCATCACCATCATAACAATAATCATCATCATCACCACCACCACCATCATCAACATCATCACCACCACCATCATCAACATCATCATCACCACCATCATAACCATGAACACCACCACCACCATCATCATCATAATCATAACCATCATCATCATCACCATCATAACAATAATCATCATCATCACCACCACCACCATCATCAACATCATCATCACCACCATAACAATAATCATCATCATCACTACCACCACCATCATAACCATCACCACCACCACCACCACCATCATCATCATAATCATCCTTATCACCATTATCATATCCACCACCATCATAACCATGAACACCACCACCACCATCATCATCATAATCATAGCCATCATCATCATCACCATCATAACAATAATCATCATCATCACCACCACCACCATCAT